GGCTTTAAGGTGCTGCGAAAAATCTCTTTAAAGTAAATCTTAGAGATTATACTCTGCAATTTCGGGGCTCAAATCCCGCTGAAGGTGCTGAGGAAACCTGGACGATGTCGAAACTGCAGTTTACTCCAGCCTGGATGAGAAGCAGAGCTCTGTGAAATTTATTAGGAACGTAAGGCCTACTCATATAATTATGGGAAAATTTAACTATTAGTCCATCACCTTAAACGAAATAGGGTGAATAAATCTCATATATGTAGTAGTAGTCTCAAAAACCTACTTATAAACAAAAAATTGAAAGTCCCACCCAAAAGTGGTTATAGCTTTCTTGTTAATCTGCTTAGTCTTTATCCCCTTCCCTCACGGATCAGCCAATCAGCTCCTACTACTCCGGCTATGGCTGCAACATGAGCAATGTAGGCCACTCAATAGAGCATGAATCCGGTCATGCTTGGTACAATACTGTTGAGGCGCTACGAGGCTTAATCGAGAAGTCGGTTGATTGGATCGTCTACATCAGCAGGTTATGGGCTATGGAGACGAGAAACAACAGGAAAGAACGGATCAGCAAGCCTGAAACAGGTTCCACACAGGATGAGATTGTAGAGAGGCTGATGAAGGAGACTAGAAGGGCTTCGTCTAGTGATGAGCAGACTCGAGGTGAGGCGTTTGAACTGCTCAAACGTCAGCTCGTTCTCGAGTTCCTCAACAAGGATGAGGCAACAGAGGAGGAGCGCGACGAGAATGAAGACACAAGCGCCCAAATTCCCAGGTGGAATCTCTTACTCTCCAGCGTTGTGGAGTCCCATGCACACGCCGCCAGAATGCTGATCCTCCAGTCGGAAGAAGATAGCAAACCAAGATCTGATGATCCGCCTCGAATTCTTGTATACGAACGCCAGCTGGTAGGTTGGATTCAAGGCGTTTTGGCAAGTTGACTTGAGGGAAAACTTGAACTAACCTAAAATCTGTACCTTTTGCGTAATTCACCCGATCGACAAATAAATGTGCAGACGTACGACATATCACCTTTACATTACATAAATACGAGAGTTTAATACTCTTGCTGAGTGTCTATATATGAAAAGTAACGGATGGCAACTGGAATGATCCAATCAGTTTACGTGTTGCCGTATAAATGTCTTAAAACAGCATTAATTTATTGGAAGCTGCGTTGCCGTTAAGTATCTTAAGTCCGTTTACGGTCTCATGCCTTTAAAACCTTCAATTTGTATCATTTGTCGGGTAGACGAAAATCATATGTTTATTGCATTGTAAGCTGAAGAAAGTTTTAATTTGCAAGTCCTTCATCCCCTTAAACGAAATAGGTTTAATACATCTCATATGATTTCTTTAATTCCTACTTCAGATTCCCAAGCGGCCATGAAAAGACGTATACAATGTACTTTTATGTAAAAGCGGAATAGAACAATCCGTTCTACTGCTGCTTGTATCCCATTTTTAATAATGAGTGTGCATAAATACTATTTCCCCTACTTTATTAGCAAAAAATCGTGTACCGTAACGCCTGGCCTCGTGTTAATTGGGGAGGAAGCCTAATCAGTGGCCCTTATCACACTAATTGTGATATACCATCATTTCAGAAAATCCATCCAAATTAAAGCAACCCATAAAAAGCATAAGTTTTTTTCATTTTTTAAATCTTCTTATTGCCCAATTCCAAAGTACAGTCTTGTTGAAGAGAGAATAAAGTGTTGCAATTTGTGAAGAAGTTTACTTTATCCTGTTAAATGGCAAGCATTAGTTGCTGTAAAAGGCATATCTTGATCTACTTGACTGTCCCTATCTTATTACAAAATCAAGATAGAATGATAGAACACTGACAAAAAAGATGAAAGTAAGACGCCTCACTCTTCCATATTAAGTTGGTTCAGCTTTGAGGACCCAGTAAGAAAAGATGACGAAAGATTTGAACCATTTGGTATACATCATCTGGGATCCAACTTATCATCAAATAGAGATCGGAAGTAAAATGACCGTAAGGAGCTTATGGTTGAATTTACAGGGAATGCAAATTGGTTGGAGCTAACCAATATCTCCAATGCTTTAACTAATGAATCATATGTACTAGACTCAACCATGAAGGCAGTACAGAAAGAAGAAATTTATTTAGCCGAGAGGAAAAGAATGCTATAACTAAAGTATGCTGATGGATTGGAAATTGTGGGATTTTAGAATTAGGGCTCAATGTGGCCAGAAAACTTGCAAAACTTTCGTCCACCATATGAGGGATATAAAAAAAGCAGGGTATCATTCTAACATTGGTTAATAGATGGTTAAGAAACATTAGAACTCACCGCCTTATCCCAAAATGCTGTATATACACTGTGCTTTTTGTTGAGGTATAAAGTGATTTAAATAATTTAGGTAAAATGTCAATCTCGAGTATAGGCATGCCTCTGTAGGCACTCATGTGCCCTCATATGTTTGAATATGTACGAAACCAGTAGCGATAGCTCGGTTGACCCATTAATCAGATCATGTTGCTGTAACATAATGTGTTCTTCCAATCGCTTTTATGTTGAGGAGACTTATCTTCCCATTAGACAAAGTGTGGCTAGGCACAAAAGCATCTGCAGATTTTTTTGTTTAAAAATTCAGAGCACATGGCAGAAATTGAAAAATGAGATTGAATGACCTCAAACTTTTCATTTTGTTAATTATTTTATGTCCGCAGCTAAGCGTAACATTAGAGGAGCCATCGAAATACATCGAATAGGTAATACATTGAATATGAGTTAAACCAGCACGAAGTTAAATAAAAACTACTTATGCTTAAGTAATAGACTAAAGGATAGAGAAGCTGTTAAGTCGCCTGCAAAAAGGAGGTGTCTCAACAAGTATTTATTGTCTTTTCTCCAATAACAGCCATTTAACTGGACGTTTTAGTCCATCCTTTTTCTCTCATATGGAGAAATATTGCTTATCAACTTGACAATTCAAGTCTTATATATTGAGAAATCGGAATTATCATCCTCTTCTGGTGAGATCGACTTTCGAATCTCTTCCCCGAACACTTTCACTCAAAATGGAAGTGAGTTAAATAAACTTATTTCGGTTGTTGCTTGTTATGTTGCTTTCTATGACCTCTCTTATCTTACGCATGGATGTGAAGTCCTAGTAGCCCGCACAACGCTGCATTTTAGACTATTTTATTTATTTATTTATTTTAGAATATTCTATTTCCTGCCGGTTTCGATTTTGCAAGCCGGTTAAGGTAGTGATAACTTCTTGTGTATAAGTCTGTAGGTTTCTCCTACATAGTCATTACCAAATCAGAAAAAGTTTTTTCTCGTTTCTATAACTCGGTCGTGCTTTCGGCGAAATCTAAATGAACGCGCCTTGTTCAAAGAGCAAAACTTTATTGCATTATGATCTAGCTGTCTAAAACAAGTTTTCTTCTATACCTTGCTTTGATGTTGCATTTTCTCAGAAGTCAGTCTATCTTTTACAAAAGCTAGCAGGACTATAACATCAGAAGTCGAGTACTGTGGTCTATCTACTTGTCCTGTTCTAAATACCTATTTACCTGCATTTTATTTATTAGTAATGAAAAGTAATTGCCTATAATTTTTATCTTTCGAATTAAATATTATTTTCGTGACTATAAGTAAATTAGTAATATTTATTCACCCTGTTTCGTGTAAGGTGATGAAGGACTGGTAGTAGAATTTTCCCGCAATCATATGAGTTGAGCTGACGTTTCCATTCAATTTCACATAGCCTTGCTTCCCCAAAAGTTGTTCTCATCCAGGCACCAGTGGATTGCAGTTTCGACCTCGCATCGGTCTTATCAACACCC